TTCCAACGGATTTCCGACGAAAATTAAATATGTTTAAAAAAATTGTTGTAATAAATTATTTTATTTTGTTAAATAAGTTAAATAATTTGTAACTCTATTACAATTATATTATTTATGTTATAATATATAATAAATTTTTAAATTACATTTAATATAATAATGTATATTTAAATCACATTATAATTACATATTTTTAATTTTAATATAAATATTATTTTGGCTTTAGATTAATTAGTTTTCAGTTATACTTTAAATATAAAAAAAGTATGCAATTTAGCAGTTTTTCCTCTTTGGCATAAAGGTTGAGGGGAGACTAACATCAAATGGTGGGGATTCGAACCCCATCGCAGGCGCCGCAGGCGCGCGTGGCTAGGCAGGCCAGTCGGTCGGCAATCTCCTAGGCGGGCTTGATGCGCTGCGAAGTAGCTTGGGGGGCTTGTCCGGTTGGCTTTGGGGGGAGGGGGGGGGGGGGGGAGGGGTGGGGTGCGCGGCTGGACTGGCTTGGGGGACAGCAGGCTGCCCGGGTTGACAAAAATTTTTATTTTATTTTATTTTCTGGTGTAAAAATAATCCGCTGGAAATATATTTCCGATGAATTTTATGATGGAAATATTCTAGAAATATTTCTTACACATTATTTAACGCTGGAAGGGCTTTTCCGACGTGCGTTTTGCCGTCAAAATAATTTCTGTTGGAAATCCACCGAAAATGCTAATTTTTTATAGATTTTAGCCAAATTTCTGACGAAAACGACTGTTGAAAAATTGTGTTTTTCCTGTAGTGAGTTACACCATGCTAAACACATAAGATATTTTTACGTGGACAACATAATATTTAACTTGAAAGAAAATCTAGAGGTAAGAGTGACACCCTAAAGATACATGATAAAAGAAGACGAGTATTATTATTAACACAAATGCACAAATTGCATGGTCATTTAATATCACAAACCATTTGAATATTATTCAACAGTTTTCTTTATTATTGTTGATTTTACCCCCCCCCCCCTTTTTTTTTTTTTTTTCCCCCCCCCCCCCCTATTGGGATCAACTTCATCTCTAGCATGTGGGTTTTTGATGAATTATCGGAGATATCCCTATCATATCAGCCTCTTAATCTCATCCTTGAGTTATCTGCAAGCTTCAACAATGTGTCCATGAATACGGCCATCAACATATTTTCTCGAGGGGCATTGAGTGGTATATACTCCTCTTCTTGCCAAAACTTGCATCGTGGTACAGGGGGTCTAGGAGGAAGATTTTTCTTTCATTGCGAGAATGAGTTCTCCATTGTAAGGGCATTTTTATGCTTTCCAGAAGTTTGCTCAAATTGCTTCTTGTAAGTATTTATAAATTTATCTGCTTATATTTGTGCCTCTATATGATGGATGAGGTCGGTATATGAATGTTTTGTATATCATATAAGTATTGAATGAAAAAGCCCTAGACGGAGGCCTTCAAGGAAAACTCCTCTCAGCAATTCAGGATCTACTCTTAAAATTTATCGAGCCTCCGTGAAAAATCATTAGAAATGCTCTTTAAGCGATTCTCCTTCATTCTAGCAAATCCTAAAGAGCAGAGAAGAATCATTAGCAATTTTTTAATTAGAGATAAATTGTTCAACGAGCACTTTGGTCAATTTTGACAAAAGTGAGAATTATTCTATCTGGAAGTTAATAGAACCGTATTCGTGCTTATCCCTTAAGGGTGGAAAAAAAAAACTTGGCATAGGAGCGCATCTAAGGCTCACTGGATATGCATGATGGTCCGATTGTGATCAATATGCTCATACAGGTTGGATGTCCTGTCATAGGAATTAATACTCGGTAGTTTGAATCCTACCAAAATTGGGTGTTGAAGAATGGTTTAGGTCAGGGGTGATGACTCTTGGAAATCCTACTGATAATGAGATATCTTACACCTCCCACGGAGAAATATTCTTAGAACAATCTTTGTATTTCATGTCGTAAGGCTTTGCGAGCGAGATAAGCAATGTGTTATTGGGCTAAGTCTTCGAGAACTTCTGGAGGAATACTAGGTTGCCAACCTGAACGTGAAGGATGGGCAGAGCTTGTTATGTTAGCAAGTTCATTGTCTTCATGTGACGAAGGATGTATCCTTAGTGGAGGGAGAGGAATCTCCATATGAAGATGTTTGGGTTGAATATCTTTAGCCAGTAGTGGATCTTGAGGGAGAAGAATCTCCTCTTGTTATGCTAGTGCCAATTGTCGAATCTCTCACAGAAGTTAAAGGATCTCATTTTGAGATTCTTCAATCTTTCATATACGTTCTTCTAGAGAAAGTCCTGAAGTTTCTTTTCTGAAAGCATTTTGCTCTCCAAGATAAAAAGCGTCAGATGCTGGGTGTTTATAATTCATAGACTGATTTTTGGATTGATGGGTGTTAGAGCGAGATGCTCCCAAGATACTATTGTTACGCCTAGCGGCCATTGAAACAATACTAAAGATAGTGGGATTATATTTCTCACATACAATGCCAAACAATTGCATGCTAGAATATATGCTGAGACAGTGTAATTCTATGTATAGTGTTGTACAAATATCTAGCTGATACTTACAGAACATAAATTTTTTTGTGGAAACCCTATAAGGCGAAAAAATCATAGTGCCTAGCATAGTTGAAAATTATTCACTAGAATTTTAGTTGAGTATAGTATGCTGACTCGTCTTTAAGAGTGATCAGATTACAAATGTCAACTGTATAGTTATAGTCTACTGAAAAACAGGGATGAAAGTCCAATGTTACTTGGTGGTTTGGTGAAAGTCTGGCCGTTAGTTGGTAGTTCGGCGGAAGTCTCAACATTAGTCAGTGATATGGTGAAAGTCTGGCGTTAGGTGGTGGTCTGACAAAAGTTTGGCATCAAGCTGTGGTTCGGTGGAAGTCTGGGCGACAAATAGTGGTCGGGCAGAACTCCAGCATCATGTGGTAGTCTGTTAGAACTCCGGGATCGGGTTGTGGTCCAACGGAACTCCGAACGTCAGGTGGTGGTTCGACGGAACTTCCGGCGTCAGGTGGTAGTCTAGTAAACTCCGACATCAAGTGGCAATCCGATGAAACTCCGGCGTCAGTTGGCGGTCTGGCGTAACTCCTGGTGCCAGGTGGTAGTCCGACGGAACTCTAGCGTTAGGTGGTGGTTTAGCAGAACTTCGGCGTTAGGTGCTGGACCGCCGGAATACCGGGTGCCAGGTGGTGGTATGGAGAAACTCCGGACGTCAGGTGGTGGTCCGACGGAACTTCGGGCAGTGGTCGAGGAGGAGCAAGAGGGCAAGAACGATCTCCAATATTTCTTTTGTTTCCTTTGGCTTGGGTGTCCCTTTGCATGAGAAATGGAGGCTCTATTTATAATTTTTTTAGAGTAACATGGCTTGTAAATAAATGGAAGTTCAAGGGTATTTTGGGACTGGTTTGGATGGATGGTTAATGTTGAATTCCTTGATTATGGATTATTTATTGGGCATTTGAACATTTAATTAATAATATAATCTAATGATCTTAGGCTCGTTGGATTCGTCTCGTCGAGCCGCTCGATTCGACTATAAGCATGTCATGTTTCGAAACCATTTGGTAAACCTAATTGTGATTTGGATCCATTTGGGCTCGAATTGATTCAAATTTGGTGTCGTTGGGTTCGTAATTCCGAGACACTCAGTTTGACTATAAGTTTGCTGAAATCAGAGTTTGGATGGTCCCAATTTTAATTTATGAGGTTTCCAATTTGATTTTGCCTCGAGATTTGTGCCCGATCCAAATATTTTTTGATGATGTATCAAGTGCAATATCTTGAGGTATGTAATTATTAGTTATTTTCAATATCAAGTGCAATATCTTGAGGTATGTAATTGTTAGTTATTTTCAATAGCTAAACAGATTTATTGTTTAGAAGTTTTTGTTGATTTATTTGATTATTTAAAAAGATAAAAAATATATTTTTTTTTCAAAATTTGTTTTTGCCACATCACAACAACTGTCAAATGTTGAGTTGAAGCTAATTATCCTTGATGAGTTCCTCTGATGAAAACTATATGAATATAAATTAGTAGTTGGGTTATGTGGGTGAATAGCCTTGGTTAGAAAGTGAGTTTGTGGTTCCTCTCAAGCATCTTGAAGGTAGGCTAAGTACTTACTTTACTATGTTTAGATTCCATCAAAATTTTGATCGGGATGAACTATATGAATATAAATTAAAAGAGAAATATCATTTTAAATGATTTTTAATTTGAATGTTGTAAATATTTTTCATATTAATTAACTAATTTATTATTATTTATAAACATTGAATTTATAAGAGAGATCATTTTATGTAACACAAATCTTATACATAAATTAATATTCAACTGTTTCTATTTATAATATATTCACTCAAATTTTAAAAATATAGCCAAATAAAAATAAAAATGCATGAATAAACTCTTTATTTCTTGTTAAGATATTAAATATATAAACAAAATAATTTTTTGATGATACGCACATGAATCAAAATGTAGTTTCCTTTGAAGAAATATTTTTTACTCTTTAAACTTAAGAAATTTCCATTAAAAACAGGAGAAAAAATTGAGAGTTATTTTCCTTAAATAATCATATAAAATTGAGAGAGAAATAATAAGCTTTTATTTGAAATAAATATGATCAAACTGTTTAAATAGTGTAAGCTCTAATTAAAATCTTGTTATCTTGTATAGGATCTCGGGGAGTGAACATTGCTCTAAGGCTATCATGAAGAACACGGGTTATAAAGATAGTTGTAATAATGATTTATGATTAAGCATTATTAGTTGCTGGTTTAATGAGCTGAATCTTGATGGAGAATTCTTGGTTAAAAAAAAAAAACTTTGGAAGAAAAAATTTATAAAAAAAAAGAAAGTAGCAGTAAAGTTGTTGATAGAAATTCAAATTTTTGGAGAAGTGTGCGGAGATCCAGGCATAAAGCATCACGTATTTATTTCTCATTTACAGTCCTCACCAATAACCGGGAACTGCAATTAATGCTCATCAATGCCCCTCTCTCCTCTCCCTCCCTCCCCCTGTCTCTGCGGTCTTCTGTGAAGCCATGCCCTTTGCAGCTCAGAACAAGGAAAAAGATGGCTTCTTTGCAGCTGGGAACCGAGTAGCTTGAAGAAAAAGATGTGCCTTTTAGGTTTTTTTTTAACGTTTACCAGCTCCTTCTTCCTGGTATGGGCTCTTCATCTTTTCTTCCTTTCTATAGTCCCAGCTCAGTGATAAAGAAAATTTGATTACGAAGTTATGGATAATGCCCTGCAACCCCTGATAACATAGAGGAAGAAAGAACCGAAATTTTTCTTCTTGGAGATAATTCCATTCGTCTGATCTTTACAATGGGCTCAACAAGAAGCAGAGTCTTCACTCAAGCTCTGACCTTTTTGCTCTCAGCTGCGTCTGTAACCGTAGGAGTCTCAGCACTCGGCTCAATGTCGTCCATTGCTGTCTCCTACGGTGAGAATGGCCCAGTCTTTTGCGCTCTGGTCCCTGATGGCTCTCATCTTGTTCGCTGTTTTGGCACTGATGCTTCTATTGTATATGGCGCCCCCTCAAGGCTTCCTATGCTTTCTCTCACAGCTGGTGATAGCTTTGCCTGTGGGCTTCTCTTGGATACAAACCAGCCTTATTGTTGGGGAAACAACTTCTATGTAGAGATGGGAGTTCCTCAGCCAATGGAAGAAGGGGCTGCTTACTCAGAGATTAGCGCAGGTGATCACCATCTCTGCGGCATTCGTAAACAGCACAGAAGATTTCAAACCAGCATTTCATTGATTGATTGCTGGGGTTATAACATGACTGCCTCTTTGAAGTTCAACGGCGAAGTTACATCCATAACAGCTGGATCTTTGTTCAATTGTGGCATACTTGTTCGAAATCGAACTGCATTCTGCTGGGGGGATGAGACAGGAAGCAACATTATCAGTCTAACTCCGCGGAATTTGAGGTTTCGATCCATTTCAGCTGGAGGCTATCATGTTTGTGGGATATTGGAGAATTCTCGGGTTTTCTGTTGGGGAAAGAGCTTAGCAGTGCAAGAAGATGTTGATTTGGCGCCTGTTGATCCAATGCTTTCAGTTGTGGGAGGAAGATTTCATGCCTGTGGGATTAAGAGTGTGGATCATGAGGTTACTTGCTGGGGATTTTGGCTTAAGAGCAGTGTTCCGCCGCCGAAAAACACAAAATTGTATGAAATTGCTGCTGGAGATTATTTCACTTGTGGTGTTCTTGCAGATTCTTCGCTTGCTCCGCTCTGCTGGGGAACAGATGGTCCTTGGTCTATACCGATGGCAGCTTCACCTGGGATATGTGATTCAAATCCTTGCGGCCCCGGATTCTTTGAGTTTAGCCATCTGAACTTGCCTTACAAGTTCTGCAGGCCAGTGAACTCTAGAGTTTGCTTGCCATGTAGTAATGACTGTCCTGAGGAGACTTATCTGTTAAGCTCCTGCAATGCTACTTTGGATCGAAGATGCGAGTTCAATTGCACAAATTGTGTTTCTACTGAATGCTCATCATTCTGCTTGCAGAAGAAATCCACTCCTCAAAATATGTCTTCACTTCAATTGCCAATCTTTATCTCAGAATTGGTCTTTGGAGTGGTGTTGGTGAGCTCAGTATCTTTGGTGGCTTGCCTCTATGTTCGATATAAATTACAAAGATGTAAATGTGGGGCAAATGAACTGAAAACTGTAAAGAATCGATCTTGTTCTTTCCACAAGGAGTTGGTGAAGATCCAACCTGATCTGGAGGAGCTGAAGATTCATCGTGCGCAGATGTTCACTTTTGAAGAATTGGAGAAGGCCACAGGTGGATTCAGTGAAGAATCCCAAGTTGGAAAAGGAAGTTTTTCCTGTGTTTTCAAAGGAGTTTTGAAAGATGGAACAATTGTTGCTGTAAAGAGAGCTATAAGAGCTTCAGATCTGAAGAAGAACTCCAAAGAATTTCACACTGAACTCGACTTGCTCTCGAGGCTGAACCACGCGCATTTACTGAACTTGCTAGGCTACTGCGAGGAAGGCGGCGAAAGGCTTCTTGTTTATGAATTCATGGCTCATGGTTCTTTGTATCAGCATCTACATGGAAATGAACCAAGCTTGAAGGAGAGATTAGATTGGGTTAAAAGGGTCACCATTGCTGTCCAAGCTGCAAGAGGAATTGAATACTTGCATGGCTATGCCTGCCCCCCAGTCATTCACAGAGATATCAAATCTTCAAACATTTTAATCGATGAAGAACACAATGCCCGAGTCTCAGATTTTGGTCTTTCTCTTCTTTGCCCAACTGATAGCAGCACTCCTTTATCTGAACTTCCTGCTGGAACACTTGGCTACTTAGACCCTGAGTACTACAGGCTTCATTACCTTACCACCAAATCTGATGTTTATAGCTTTGGTGTTCTCCTCTTGGAAATTCTCAGCGGCCGAAAAGCCATTGACATGCAATTTGAAGAAGGTAACATAGTAGAATGGGCTGTTCCTCTGATCAAAGCTGAGAATATCACAGCAATACTCGATCCAGTTCTGAAACCTCCAGCTGAGGAGGAAGCTTTGAAGAAAATTGCTACTATTGCATGTAAATGTGTGAGAATGAGGGGAAAGGATAGGCCATCAATGGATAAGGTGACTACTGCATTAGAAAGAGCTCTTGCTCTTTTGATGGGAAGCCCATGTAATGATCAACCAATATTGCCTACTGAAGTTGTGTTGGGAAGCAGTAGATTGCACAAGAAGGCGTCGCAAAGATCTTCGGCGCAGTCATACTCAGAGACCGATATGATCGATGCCGAAGATCAGAGAATCGAATACAGAGCTCCTTCATGGATTACATTTCCAAGTGTGACCTCTTCACAGCGGCGAAAATCGTCGGTTTCAGAAGGAGATGTGGAGGCTGTGAAGAATGCAGAAGGGAGAAGTCTTAGATGCTTGGAGGAAGAGATAGGACCAGCCTCTCCTCATGAAGAGTTGTTCTTGCAGCATAACTTCTGAGTAAGTGTTTGGATTGTGAAGTGTAAGTATCTATGATTTTATGAGAATAGCTCTTCTGAAATTTTCTCAGACCTTTGTGTTTTATTGTTTTTGGGGTGTATTCTCTGATCACATGTTGAGCTGTTGGACTATGAGTTTGTCTTCTATGATGATTTAGTGAGATGAGATTGTAACTTGCAAGGATTGTAAAGAATTTATGAAAATTATAAACAAGGACTCATTCTCATGTGAAAGGGGTTGGAGGGTTGAGAAAGCTAAACTTGTTGCATTTTTCGAAAAATGCTTCTAATAGTTAGAATTAGTCATCATTTACCAGAATCATCAGACTTCTGCCATCTGATTATTATTGTCTAGCCATTAACATCTAATCTTGTTGATAGATTTTAATTTTTTCGCTTATGGGCGCCCAATTTTTATAATCCCTATAACAGAAATCAAATAATTATTATCTCATCATCTTCACTTGTGGACAAGAGTGGACTCTTATATATTTTTGATTATATAGTGGACTATTGCAAGTGGGTCATACTCGTAGTTTTTTTATCTTTTGGTTTTTCCATATAAAAAAAATTCATATTTCTCATGACTTCTATCCGTAATTCTGTATGTATGGAATCTTTGTATAAATCTAATATATTAATACTCAAAATGCCACCACAAGTTTTAGGCATCTATAAGTATATGTTTAGATCTTATTTTGAACAAATTTATCCAGTTGATTTGCTCCTATTAATTCAAGGAAAGATAATATATACATTTTAATAATTATTAGTACCATTTAGAAATATTACTTTGATAAGCCAATCCATAACATATATAATATAATAATGAACATTATTGAGCTATGTTAAGCCTTGCTATTATGTAATAAATGAGATTAGAAACAAAAATAAAATCTTTGTTTGGGATTATTTTTTATTGCTTATTTTTAGTACAAATTAAAAAAAAAAAAATAGAAAAAAATTATTTAAATCTATTTGTTGACTTAATAAAAAAGAAAAAAAATTAAATAGATGCAAAGTAACGAACTTGCCTTCGAGCTAGTCCCATTTCGCATCATCTCTCCAAACGACGCCTTGCTACGCACAATAACTTCCCTCACGACGTAGAACCACAAGAATTCATTTGCTATGATCATTCACAAAAAATTCAGACTCCTCTGACCTCGTCGTTGCTGTCCAACTTCGTTGCTTCGCAAGAGTCTAGGGTTTGCTTTTCATCTTCTCTCTTCGTCTTCGCTGTTCGATCTCGTTGCTTCACAGGACGAAAAGAGATTACACGCGCCACTCCTTATGCTTCCTCATTGATGTTCGGTTTCATTGCTTCGCAGAGGGTAGAGATTGCAGAAGCCGCTCCTTCCGCTCCTTGTGTTCGTCCAACTTCGTGCCTTTGCAGGAGACATAGATTGCACAATTTGCTTCTTTGGCTCCTTGTTGTTTAACTCCGCCCCCCAATTCCTATTGTGATGATATCAAATATTCTGTATTTTTATTGAACATTAGTATGTTTTTTTTATGTTCTTTTCTTTTTTTAGCTATCCAATGATGGGAAAGCATCCAATGATCATGTTAGGTTGTGCTTGGGGCTTGGTAGACCTTTGGTTTGCTGGCTCGATTGGTCCTTGGCTGCTGCTGGTTCACGGGTTGGCTTATGGTCCACGGGGAGCCTATGGTGATGTGTGGAAGATGATGGTTCATTGGAGTTGAGCTTAATTTCTAAAGTTGCTAGCTCATTAATGATGAGCTGAAATTTAGTAGCTCGTTAATGTTCTAAGGTAAGCTCATAAGTTGGATTCATTATTGGAGTGGTCTTGTACCTTCTCCTCCCCTTTTCTTCTTTAAAATTTATCCTTGTCTCATGGGATTCCGTGGCTATTTTTTGGGCTTCCTATGCTGGTTGTCTTCCGTGCCTTGGCCCTTGGTTTCCCCGTTGGCTGTTGTTTTCTTTGTTGGGTGGCCTTTATGTGTCTTTTGGTGCCTCGGTTCTGTGTGGGCCTCTTTGGTTCTATGGCTGCCTCTTTGGTCCTTGGCTGGGCTGTTTCCCGTGAAATGATTGGGGGATTTCCGTGGTTTGTGCTGCTTGGATTCCGGTGGGAATTCAATAATATAGATGTTTGGTTTCTCCTCTCTTGCCTATAAATAAGAGATGTTTTAAGAAGGAATGGAGTTAATTATTGAAAGCAAATTTGATATAAACCTGCGGGTTTTTGGAAAAGCTTGCGAGCTTGTTCCATTCTTCTTTTCATCTCCTCTAGGAAAGACTTGCAAGTACTTTCCACCCTTCGTCTCGGCTTCTAACCTCTTTCGTCTCTCCGCAAGTTCCACTCCATATGTATCCTTCTTCCTCAGCTTTGGTGATGTTTGTTGGTTGATTGGGAGCATTTGCTGGACGAGACATTTGGACTATCTTGCAGTGGTGGACCATCGATTTGCTAACCCTAAAGCACTTATTTTACTTAACCTACATTTCGATGCATGTGAGGAACCCGCTCTGACAGTTGTTTGAGGATAGCGTTGTTTTTATTTTCTTTATTTCTCTGAATTCTCTTCTAGTTTTCTTCGTCAGATTTTGGATGTTATAGATGATTGCTACTATTTGAACCGAGTTTGATTTAGTTCTGCCCATTGTTCTCTTTGTTTTTGGCTTTTCTAACTAGCGTGCTTACATCAAATTGGTATCAGAGCAAGTTCGCTTATTTTTGGGTTGGTAGGAGTCTTTCTCTTTAGTGTTTAACAAATGGCTAATGATCATGGAGATTGGCAACAAATGATGCAACAATTGAATAATTTTCAACAACAAATCAACACAGTAGTTGAAGCAATTGCTAATCTGAATGTTAATCAAGCTGATGTTAATCCTAATATTCAAAACTTCTGAATGTGAGGAGAAAGAACCTAGAAATCAAAATAGGCGACAAAGAAATTGGGATTACGGAATTAAAATCGATATCCACAATTTTGAAGGAAAATTACAACTTGAACAATTCATTTAATCGGTAGAAAAAATGGATTAATTTTTCGAATGGAAAGAAATTCCGGATAATCGAAAAGTCAAATTCGCAAGTTTAAAACTGACAGGACATGCATTAACTTGATGGAAAACCTTACAAAACAACAGATTAAGGAAAGGCAAAGAAAAAAATTTAAACTTGGGATATGATGAAAGAAAAGTTGAAAGGAAAATTTCTGTTTTTTGATTATTCAAGAACTATCTTTCAGGAATTTAACAATTTGCGTCAAGGAAATCAAACTGTGAAAGAATACACTGAAAATTTTTATAAATTGCAAGCTAGAAATGATTTGGATGAGTCTGAGGAAAAAACCATAACAAGATATCTTAATGGGTTAAAATGGACAATTCATGATCAACTTAACTTGCATCATGTCATTAAATTAGATGAAGCTTATCACATGGCCTTAAGAGTTGAAAAACAATATTTACGGGGAAGCAACAAAATAACATAAACATATAAGCGACGACAAACTAGTGGGACTAAACCTCAATCTCAAACTTCTGCGGGAACTTCGGGTGTGAAAATTAAAGCTATTGAAAGTCAAAATCCGGATAAGGGTAAAGGGGTAATGGGATCTAAACCCACTGAACAATTTAAACTGGTTGGGCCTTGTTACAAATGTGGTCTATACGGTCATTTGTCGGCTACTTGCAGAAAAAATAACCCTCCACCAAATAACTTCGTAGAAAATGAAAAGGAAATAGAGGAAGAGAACAAAACATAATATGAAACAGAAGCTGAAATGGAAAAGTTTGACTTGGAAGGTGATGAAGGAGAACCATTATTAGTAATTCGACAAGTTTTAACTGCTCAAATTGAGAAGGAAGATAAATGGCTTAGAAGAAATATCTTTAGGACCACCTGCACTGTTGAAGGGAAAATTTGTACCTTAATGATTGATAGTGAAAGTTCAGAAAATTTTGTGTCACAACACATGGTGAAGAAGCTTAAATTGAAAACAAAACCTCTTGTTAAGACATATAAAATATCTTGGTTTAAAGAGGGGAATGAGGTTCCTATAACCAAACAATGCACTGTGAACTTAACAATTGGAGGAACTTACAATGATCAAATTGTCTGTGATGTTGTACCTCTTGAAGTCTGTCATATCTTTTTAGGTCGTCCATGGCAGTATGATCATAAAACCATTCATGATGGAGAAAAGATCACCTATACCTTAATTAAAGATAATAAGGAGTTCACTCCTTTCTTACAAAAAAATATTTCTGACTCAGCAACAAAAAATAAAAAGTCTGCGAAATCTTCCACTCCTAAATTGCTTTTAAACACAAATGAATTAACACAGTCTGATGTGGTATATTTGGTGCTTGGAAAAGAAACTGATTTAACTCTTGAGATTCCTAAAAAAATACAACCGTTGCTTGATGAATTCTCTGATTTGATACTTGATGAGTTACCAATTGGTTTACCCCCAATGAGAAACATTCAACATCATATTGACTTAATTCTTGGAACTACATTGCCTAACCGTTCACATTACAGGATGAGTCCAAATGAACATCAAGAACTTTCTAAGCAAGTATCTGAACTGTTGGAAAAAGGTTTAATCCAGGAAAGTCTAAGTCCTTGTGCTATGCCTGCTTTGCTTACTCCTAAAAAAGATGAAACCTGGATAATGTGTGTGGATAACCGAGCCATAAATAAGATAACCATCAAATACAGGTTTTCAATTCCTAGGTTGGATAACATGCTAGATATGCTAAGTGGTGCCAAAGTTTTTTCTAAAATTGATTTGAAAAGTGGGTATCATCATATAAGAATTAGACCTGAGAATGAATGGAAAACTACTTTTAAAACAAAAGAATGCTTGTATGAATGGATTGTTATGCCTTTTGGTTTGTCAAATGCTCCAAGTACTTTTATGCGAACAATGAATCATGTTTTGCGACCTTTTATTAGGAAGTTTGTGGTAGTATATTTTGATAATATTCTGATTTACAGCATTCGTCCATCTAAACATCTTTTTCATGTCAAAATTATTTTATAAACTTTGAGGGAATAAAAATTGTATATCAATTTGAAGATGTGTTCTTTTATGACTTTAAGTTTGACATTCTTGGGTTACATTGTGTCTGCTAAGGGAATCAAATTAGATCCTGTAAAAATTGAGGCAATAAAGAGCTGGCCTGTTCCTAAAAATATCAGTGAGGTAAGAGATTTTCATGGGTTAGCATCTTTTTATCGTCGAATCATTAAAAACTTCAGTTCTGTGATCGCTCCTAT